GGATCTTTAACTCGATTTGACCGAATATATATACTTTTCAGTGATGTTGAAAGGTTTTTTTTGAAATTAAGGACATATTTCAGGTGTTGAAAACAGTTTGATTACAACTGCTACGCAACTAAACACTATAAAAGTAGATGTAATGAATAATTCTACATTAAACAGTTTGGTTAGATTTGTTTTTTGGTTTCTGATAGCCTTATAGCAAAAGCCACACGGTAACAATAGAAAAACGCCCGGAAGACTTATTTTTACCCGATTCGCTTCACAATATCAACAGTAACGAACGGAGACGGGACTGATAGTCAAGGTACTACTTGTGCAGGGATTTTGAGACATTCTTTCTTCATACTAACCACGATGTTAGAGAAGACAGTTCAGTTTTAACCACGCAGAACGTACAACTCATGTAACTATTTACCATGCTGGTAGCACCGGTACTAGCTAAAAGCCCTGAAACTTTTGCCGATATTTTGCCGCTGCATGGAACAACAGCAAAGGTTTCGACTGGGAGGCCCAACGATGAGCCAAACCCCTCATACCTGTGCCATACAGCGACAGAATATCGACGAAATAAGAGCCTAGCTTTCAGCTAGTACCTACGCTGTCAGTATAGTAAATAATTACATATGGTCCAATAATGACTGCCTGTTGACAGTGTTTGGTTTGTGCTACGCGGTTATACCACACTCTACATCAAATTTCGGTCTGTGATTATGGACCCTTGAATATTATCATCTACTCCAAATTCACAATTAATTTGTGATGAAATTAACAAGCTTAGGCTTAGGATGCTTAAAGTAAGTCAAGGAACGAACTTCAATGTCTGGCAGCATAAACATTGATGTCGGCTATCAAAGGTAGAAAACTCAACCTATACTACCGTTATTTTAAATTCCACGCCCCTTTTTTGGTTTTTAAACACCCGATTTTGTTTTTTCCCATGTGTTTCTGTTCGGCACCAAGTAAAAGCATCAGCTAGAAATCGATCGCGCCAGCAACATGCCGCATCTGGAGCTTTGTCTGCGTCTGCTCGTGGTGTGCATGTGTGTGTATGAGTCAGCGCGAGTGAGCGTGTGCTCTGGGTTTAATCACGCAGATGCGTTGGTTTGAGTGCTTGCACCTTGGCGCTGCGAAGGCGTCGAGCACATGCTTGAACTGCAAGCTGTGCCAGACAGCTCATCAGCTTACCCTCCCTACGTACTTTAGTACACATTTGGAGGCGTGCCCGGCACGATATACAGCACACTCCCTTCACCTCTGTGTATTCACAAAATCACAGTAGATTACTTTTCTGCAAATTCATTACATAAGTCTGCATTGAGCTCGTCATTTTGCTTGTCAAGGAGGATAATTCATTCTCAGTAATAGATTGAACTGTGTTTCTTACTTAAAGGTTCTCAGTTTAATTAGAGCCGACCTAAGTAACTGTTATTTTAAAATATTATACTACGGCACAGTATTGTGTCATCTTATACATGGACTCCCTGTTTGGAGACGTCAGCTTGGAGCCTCTCATCGGTCAGCTTATCTTTTTCCTTATCTGCAGCGTATGACAGGTCATCGGAATCCATCATTGTCCTTAGTTCTAATGCTTTCGACCTTCCTAAGTGTCTTCAAAATATAGGTTATGGTCGAAAAGACATCAGGGTTTCTAGAGTGCGTTTATTTGGGTCTTAAGCCTACCGGTATTGATATCCTGCGTTCCCGTACTGTGTTTAAATTCTCCGATTCAGATTTCTACTAACCAATGCATGAAAACCTCCTGTGGTATCGAATAACTGAACTGATGATGCTATCATCCAGAAACCAAGACGCCTTAACTCCCGGGCCAATCCTCTATGAATTTCTACATCCCCTGCCTTTTAACTTCACGCTTATAATAACACATTTAGGTTCATCTCGATCAAACTCTGCTTCCTAAGTCATTTGACTGAACCCCTCTGTTATCACCTCCGGGAAAATAGGGTGACCTAAAACTGTTTCATTTGCGAGTCTTCATCCTGTCTATCTGATGTTTATTTAATGTAATGCTTACTAGCGTCTCTATGTGTGTACTTGTTCTTATTCCGACGTCAAGGCATTTTGCCAAAGAAGCATCTGGTGCCAATTCTTTGTGTTGCAAACAGACCCTTTCAAAATGTTGTAATTTAGGAAACTGAATCAACATTTTCAATCATAGCTTTGCTGAAAAAATCACAGTAACCTTTTAAGCTCCCAAGATCACAGGTGTACGTCAAAAATAGAACGAAATTACTCCCCGGCTAGGGTAGCTTGATGAATTGCACGCGAGTGAGATACAGGATACGAAGGGGAGTTCTCGGCAGCTAAGTCCAATGTGACCATTCCAGTGTTCTTTAGGCTTAGGGGACTAATTGCTATTATTTTGAGAGTAGTAGACCGAACCCCTAGCGTAAAACTCATCGAATGTATGAAGCAGAACAGTACACCTGAAGTAGTAAATGTAGTTCCGCGTTGGTATACTCGTCAACGACATGGCTTGCGCCGAAGCATATCAGCCTGCATCGTCAGCAAATAGTTGAAGCTGTATGTAAATATGCTTCCCCATACGGAAAGAATTGTCCTCTACAGGTTGCAGTGAAACTTTCTGGCAGACCTGTTTAAAGTTTCTCACAGGAATTAGATAGAATACTGGATATTAATTTCAACGGCACATCTATTTAAAAAAGCACACTGTTAAAAAGAAAATGGGAGAAACAGTGCAAGGCGATATCAATTAACAAAGACCACTGAAGCAGTAAGGCATATTGTCTTCTTTCATAGTCGACTTACTGCTAGCTTTTAGGGTGATCTTACTGCCTAAATGATAAACCTACCCTCGATTTTGTGGACAAACTGAAGTATGAATGGCTTAGATAAGCCTCTGGGTTGAAATAGGTAAGCTGAATTTCTTTGGTTTATAATAAAGTTGTTATGGGAAGTAAACCTCTGTGTGGTAACTACTACAATCATAAACCGGCATGCACGAATTGTCTTATTGCAGTTTTTGTTCATTCATCATATATAAAGAATTGCATTTAGTCTATTTTCGTAATATCACTCTCAAGTTTGTTACTGTGGACAGGTCTAGAAAAAAACGTTTGGTGGACATTTATTTAGCTAATTACAACTCAATTCATGTAACAACGTGCAAACCTTGTTTTATTGCCGTTTTTCTAATTCATTGTGTATTGCGAGTTATTTTTTGTTTATTTAAAAAAAATTAACTCTCAACCTCATTGCTATAGGTTTGTCTAGAGGAGAGAATTTTGCGCCATAGACTAATATTTTAGGTTCTCTTGGATATAGTTTGTTGTCTGCGCCGTCCCAAAACGACAACCTACATCAAATATTGTCTTCTTAATCTGCCTACAATACAATTTATGCCTACCAGTATGTTTGCATGCCCTTTCTTGTTTGTTTGTGACAAATCAATATCGAAGTTACGTTAATAGCAGTCCAATGACTAGAAAGTGTCCATATAACGGCCACTACTTTTAAAGAGTCGTTTTTAATGTGTTAGTACTGCGTGACCGCCATTAAAGAAGAAGCAGTCTATTTAACCTAAGGTTCCTAAATGAGCCGTCTGAGACCTTAAAATGTTTTCCCAGAACGCCTTTTCTGAGTAAAACATCTTTTATTAACTGAAGTTGTGAATTCTTATGAACTTACTTTTAGTAAAGTATCTATAAAAGGCTCTAAGACTTCGATTTTACAACAACTGCATACTATACTGTCAGCAGAAGCCACTAGAGCTTTCTATTTGGATAGCAGAAATAGTCGTTAACTTTCTACATTTTAGGTTAACAGAAACATCCGAGAATAGCGAATAGCATCATATTTGCAAAGAAGAACATTTCGTTGTATAAAGACCTCTACAATTCCCACCGAAACATAGTATTCAATGTAACATTAGGTGGAGGAGCACCACATTAACGAAATTGATCATCCTTCGCGACCGCTGTTCACCGTAGATATGGTTTCGCAGTAGATTCTAACCTGGGGACGTTAGCGCGCAGTGCTCACCATGCTAGCACTGGCAAAGTGAACACACACACACGCACACTCGCACGCATGCACGCACGCACACAAAGGCAGATGGGGCATACAAGGTTCGAACGTGATGATCATGACCACCGATGTGCTCAAACTTCTGCGCGGTGCGTGGAGGGAGGGGGCGTTGGTTTGATCTTCGAACCAATCGTGCCATTTGTGCCACCGCAGACAAAGAAACATCCCAGCAGAGTACGCACTTTAAATAAGCCGTGCGTAGACTTTTGCACACCACTTCGTGTTGCTCGACTGCCTTAGAGCTTGGATCTTCTTATACCAGATCTCCGTGAGTGCATTTTCTTAAATTCTCAACACCCTTTTTATTCTCAGTGATGTTTGCTGTACACCCAGTTTCCAGATAGCACGATAGCATTTTGTAAAATCATCCATTGCAGTTTGATTTCTAGTAAGTACATTCAGCACATGAGCATTAAAGGTTGCCTCCTGGGTAGAACGTTTTGAGATTTTCATAGCTTGAGCTATTTAATTCTTATATGCAACCCTTAAACTTAGTTAAAAGCTTTTAAGCACAAACATACATTTTAGATTTTGAGAGTACAGACATTTTGAGAGTGTTATTCATGAGAGATGCTCTGCAGTTGAATAGTGTTTGAACGAAATAAGTTAGTCTTCCACTTATCCAGACAACTTTGGGTATGATAAAAATGTATAAAAAGGCATTTAAATAAAGATGCTGGGTAAATGTTTGGTGCTTACGAATGAGCACAATTATTCTTTGGTTCATTTTGCATTCAGGTCAGAAACATGGCTGGACTGACCGAAGTAAGTCATTGTGTACCCCACAACCCTTCGCGGCTTACTGCAAAGGCATCTAAGTATAGCGCTTCCTGCTTTTGTTTAGCATTTATACCTCCCCTAACGGAACTAAAATTTACCATGAAAAAAACGAAACTCATAAAGCCACTTATCCACACCTACAGGTCAATATGTCCTTGGAGGAATGCCTCGGTGATGCCAAGTCCCGTCTCGTCATGGTCGCTTTTGTAAAGTTCCGTGATTCTGAAGACGCAGAACTCATGAAGATTTTGGAGGGTATTAACAAGGAAAATAAGCGTCTTGTTATCCTGGCAGTGGACGCTACCAAAAATATTGTAAGACTGCATCTAGTCTGGTTCATTAAAACAAATATTTTAGAAACTTGCCCAGGAATTCAACGTGACTGCCTGCCCCACCTTCCTCTTCTTCCGTAATCGAGTCCTGGTAAGTGTCTTTGGCTAAACCTTCTTACTGAAAATTGCACACTTCTGAAAATCATGGTTCAGGTGGATAGAACAACCCATAATTGATAAGGATAAATAAGTTGTAGTAGAATAAATAATTTTTAATTTACGGTTGGGTTCCGATGAGTATACTGAACTGAGAGAGGAAAGTATAGTTTGAAAGAAAACGAATGACTACCACACCCATTCCTTGTCAATATAAACTATGCTGGACAGCGTCTGTGTTAATCCAGAAAATCAAGTTACCGCATATCATTAAAATTTGTTAAGGCTTTAAATAAACCAAATCATGTTGCACTGTTTCATTCTTTTACAGTTGGGCTCCCGAGTCACATCGAAAGAAGAAAAACTGCGGAAGGACATCGAGAAGTACAGCAAGGTCTTCGTATCGATGCAAGAGCAGCGTTCAAATTAGGTTATGCGTCATGTCCTTTTCTTGTGAAATAAAGTAAATTCCCGCCTATTACCTATAAACTTGTACATCATCATGGTTTGCCATTCCATTTGATCTGCCATGGCATTCGCCTCCGCCCTATATAGAAAAACGTAATACAGTTCGTATTTTACGTCTTTGTCTCAGTCTTCTATCTATGCATTACCAATGGAGTAAACTGGGGACATCTGACATAAGCCCGGATTTGCGACCGAAGACTAGGCTGTGACAGGGGTAAGCAGCATCGGTATATTGGAAAGTTGTTCATAGCAGTAACAGATAGAAACCTATATGATAGCTACTAAATGTGTAACCAATACCATACCACTAGTTAGAATTAACGCAATAGGTTATGTGCTGACGTGTGGTTGAAGTT